GAAACAATCTTTGATGGTTATGAGGGAGGGAATGGATGGGGAGGGAAAAACACTAACTAGATAATAGATAAGTGGTAACTTTGGTGAAGGATAAGAAAGTACACCATACTGGGGAAGTCAGCACAACCTGACCAAGGCAACGTCATGGAAGCTTCATAGACCCATCCAAACTCCCTGAGGGTCCAAATTACTGGGCTGAGGGCTGGAGACTATGGTCTCGGAGGACATGTAGCTCAACTGGCATAGCATAGTTTATAAAGAAAATGTTCTACATCCTGCTGTGGTGAGTAGCGTCTGGGGTCTTAAAAGTTTGTGAGCAGCCATCTAAGTTAATCCACTGGTCTCACCCTGTCTGGAGCAAGGGAGAATGAAGGAAACCAAAGACACAAGGGAAAGATTAGTCTAAAGGACTAATGGACCACAACTACCACAGCCTCCACTAGACTGAGTCCAGCACAACTAGATGGTGCCCAGCTACCACCACCGACTGCTCTGACATGGATCGCAATAGAGGGTCCTGGATAGAGCCGGATAAAAATGTAGAACATAATTCTAACTCGAAAAAAAACAAAACAAAAAAAACCAGACTTACTGGCCTGACAGAGACTAGAGAAACTCAGAGAGTACAGCCCCTGGACACCCTTTTAACTCAGTACCAAAGTCACTCCTGAGGTTCACCCTTCAGCCAAAGATTAGACAGGCTCATAAAACACAACAAGACTAAATGGGCACACCAGTCCAGTGGCAAGGACTAGAAGGCAACGGGACAGGAAAGCTGGTAATAGAGAACCCAAGGTTGAGAAGGGGAGATGTTTACATATCATGAGGTTGGTAACCAATGCTGTAAAACAATATACATATTAATTGTTTAATGAGAAATTAATTTGCTCTGTAAACCTTCATCTGAAGCACAATATATGTGTGTGTGTATATGTATATATATATATATATACACACACACAAAGAATTCTAAATAGCTCTAAAACAATTCTGTAGGGACTCTTTTGCTATATTAATTGAACTTAAATTTATCTGTTAAAGAAATAGACTGAAGTCAGAAAGACTAAGGTTAATATGTAATCTGACTAAGGTTAATAAAATCAACTGCTAGCACTATATTTACTTGTATGATTTGTGTAATTCTCTGTGTGGTTTCTCCAATGGCAGTGAACGTAGGTGGCCACTATAGTAAAGCATAATTTACCTTCCCTCAAGCACCATCACCACCCTGTTCCCCCACTACTTTGTACCTGGTATGTGCTCCAACAGAGCTTCTGAAATTATGTTATAGGCATGTGCAAACAGTTAGTAGTTTCCCCAACCTTAAAATGAGAGTATTGGACTAGAATGATTTTTATTACTGTCTTGAGGGTATATTCCTACTCCCGGAAAAAAAAGAAGAAAACCGTTGCCATTGAGTCGATTCCGACTCCTAGCACCCTGCTCCAGAAAACATAATTTCAGAAGAACTTCAGGCTAAGAAAAGAAGAGTAAATTAAACCCAAAGTAAGTAGAAGGAAGAAATAATGAAGATAAGAGCTAAAATCAAGTAAATTGAAAACAGAAACACAACAGAGAAAATCAATGAAACCAAAGTTGGTTCTTTGAAAACAAATAAAATTCGTAAGTTTCTAGCTAGGCTGATCAAGAAAAAGGGGGGGGGGGCACAGATTACTAATGTCAGGAATGAAAGGACATTATCAAGGACATCGCTGCAGATCTACAGACATTAAAATGATAATGAGAGAATATTAAGAACAACTCTGTCACTGAATTCAATAACCTACATGAAATGGACAAAATTCTTGGAAAAACACAAATTACCAAAGCTGACTCAATGTCAGTCAAAACTGACTATGTCAATTAAAAAATTGAATTCATAATTTTAAAACTCCCCACAGAACTTCCGACTTAGATAGCTTTGTTGGTGGATTCTGTCACACATTTAAAGAAGAAATAATGCCAATTCTACATAAAAATTTTTTTTAGAAAATAGAGGGAAAGGGAATATTTCCCAACTTAATACCCTTATACCAAAACCAGACAAAAAGTTTACAAGGAAAAAAAAAACTACAGACCAATATCCTTCATGAACATAAAAATCTTTTAAAAGTATTAGTAAATTAAACCCAATAATATATAAAAAGAATAATGTATGATGACCAAGTGGGATTTATCCCAGGAAAGTAAAGTTGGTATAACATTTAAAAATCAAGTGTGATTGATATATTTACAAAAATAAGAGTAGCTGCTGAGCTGCTTGTGTACAACCAAACACCACATGGGATTTGGTTTCTTGGTGTGGAGGTTTAGGGTCATGGTTTCATGGGGCATCCCAGTTAATTGGCCTAATAACATGTTTAGTGCTTCTGTTCTGCCTCCAAGTTGATTGCGTAGTGCCTGGGGTCTTGAAAGCTTCCAAGTGGCCATCCAAGACATGACAGTTGGTCTCTATTCACCTGGAGTAACAAGAAGTAGGAGAGTCAGAAATGCGTGGCTAATTGCCTTCATGACAACTCCCTCCTTTGCCATGAAACCAGATGAACTGGATGATGCCCAGCTACCATTACTAAACATTTTGATCAAAGATTCCGTAGCAGAATCCTGATCAGAAAGGGGAAAGTGCAGAATAGAATTTCAGATTCTCATGGACTCCAGACTTTCTAGAGCTATGGGGACTGATGAACCCCTGTAACTATTATCCTGAGACAATCTTTAAAACTTAAACCAAACATATCCCCAGAAGTCTTCTTAAAATGAAACAATAGTTTAGCTTAACTAGTAAAAAAGGTCTGCATTGAGCATTATGCTCTTATTGTCCTGAGACAATCTTTAAAACTTAAACCAAACATATCCCCAGAAGTCTTCTTAAAATGAAACAATAGTTTAGCTTAACTGGTAAAAAAGGTCTGCGTTGAGCATTATGCTCTTTTAAGAGCTGTCTATATGGGATCAGAGTTACAACAGCAACTCGGAAGATTAGATAGGAACCATAGGGGGCATTGAGTTTTTTAATGAAGGAGGAACAACTCAGAAAAGAAGGGTGAGAATGGTTATACAACTTGAAGCATGTAATTAATGTCACTGAATTGTACATGTAGAAACTATTGGTGTATGTTTTGCTGTGTATAGTCTTAACAATAGTAACAAAATAAAATTAAAAAATGAAAATTTTAAAGGATAAAATAGAAAAGATTTATGATTGTTTTCAAAATATGCAACAACAACAAAAAAAGTGTTTAATAAAATTCAGCACCCATTCATGATACCAAAAAAAAAAAAAATTCTCATGGAGTTAACAAAAATTTTGTTTACTTACTACAGTAAAGTCATCACTGATTTTGTTACTGCCTATTAAAGTGTCAAGCACTTTGTACTTTTCAGAAATAATGACTGTATGTAATTACTAGCATTTATGTATGAAGTTTTACCTCTAAACTTGTTTTTTATTATTATCATGTATTATTTTTCCCAACAGTATTAAAATAGACTGCCTCCAGCAAAAACAGATTTAATTAAATATTAAGCTCAGAAAAATGAGATGTCCATTCGAAATGAGACCTGCATGAAGTATTTAATACTAGTGACCAATAATGAGTTATCAATTATATACATTTAAAATATCTTAATATGCTACTAGGCACAATTAGTCATTAAATTAGTAAATATTAAGCACTATTATGTAGTAGAAGGAGCCCTGGTGGCACAATGGTTAAGTGCCAAGCCACTAACCAGAAGGTTGGTAGTTCGAACCCACCAGCCACTCTGCCAGAGAAACAAAGTTGTGGCAGTCTGCTTCCATAAAGATTACAGCCTTGGAAACCCTATGTGGCAGTTCTACTCTGTCCTATAGGGTTGCTGTGAGTCAGAATTGACTCAATGGCAATGGGTTTGTTGTTTTTTTTTTTTGGTTGTTATGTGCTAGTTGCTAGGAGTACAAAGATCCTGACTGCTTTCAAGGAGCCTAGTCTAGCAGCCCAGGACATAGATAATAAATAATTACAACACTGAGTACTAAATGCTGCCCTGTAGTAAAAAATGTGTATATACAAAGTACAGTTGAAAAGCTGATTCTGCTTAGAAGGACTGGGGAATTTCTTGATTTTCCCAGACAACCTAAGCAAACCAATTTACCAAGCAAAGCTTCTTTAATCTCTTAAAGAACAAAATTAAGCCCTTAATGGCTTCTCAAGATACCAGTAATGTAGTTCCCTTAGGCTACAACCATATAAAAACCTTATGAATTTCACACACATGCACATAGACAAATAGACTCAATTTTGGAAATAAAAGCAGAAGTGTTCTTTGGGAACAGTTGGAATTTTGATAAATGAAAATCTATATATAACTAAAAATTGTGTGTGTTATACGTAATTAGGGCTGAAGACTTTGGGGGTGTGTTTTTATGAATAAATTAACTGCAGTTATGACAAACGACAATGACAAGGTGGAAGAGACAGTGGTACAACATAGAGAGGTTCAGTACATGGGCTTGAAACAAGGTAATCCTGGATTTCCCCTGTAACTTACTACTTATGTAGTAGTAAAACCGAAAAACTAAACCAAACCTATTGCTGCTGACTCATAGCAACCTTATAGGGCAGAGTAGAACTGCCCCACAGGGTTTCGAAGGAGCAGCTTGTGGATTTGAACTGTTGACCTTTTGGTTAACAGCTGAGCTCTTAGCCCCTGCGCCACCAGGGGTCCTACATAGTAGTGGGCAAGTTAATTTGTTTCTCCTATCCTCGGTTACCTCTTCTGTAAAATGAGAGTAGTAATGATTACCTCATAGGGTTGTTGTAAAGTTAAATGAGATAATGTATGAAAACTATCTGAGACAGTGCTTGGCTCATAGCAAGTACTCGTTGGATGGTGGCTGCTATAATCATCATCACCATCATCATTACTATGGTGATGAGGATGATGAGGATGATATTATTAGTATTGTTGTTGTTGTTATAGTGATTTGAGAACATAAATGATTAACTTTCTTCTTTTAGACTCCTCGAAAAGATGGCTTTGTAATTGCTGATGTTCAGCCAGTTGCAAGCAGTACTAAAGAGGAAAAGCCATCTCTTTCACCAGGTTTTAGGTCTTCTTCCTCTTTAAGAAAGAAGAATAACCCAGGGGAGAAAGAACTCCCTCCATGGCGGTCCTCTGACAAGCATCCTACTGATATCATTCGTTTCAATTACTTAGACAACTGTGACCCCATCGGGCAAGCCTGGCCTGGGTAAGAAGCTCCATGCCCTTCTCAAATTCTTTGCTTTTGGGAATAATTGATTAGCACTTCAGTATATGAAAAGATGAAAATAGAACTTACTGTGAAATACAAGAGCTTTTCCATATATGAAGGCAAAAAGTAATTGAAATGTAAAATTCACCGTTATTAGTAAATCTGTCCTTTTCATTATGATTTCTTTGCGTTTTGTAGCTGTAATAACATTACAGCTTCTTTTAATATTTTAATACCTCCAGTTCCAGTCCAACACCACAGGGCTCATTCTAGTTTTTCCCCTTTTCATATTTGTATCTCTCTTCAACAGTATACGTACTTATACTTATTATATATTTACTTATTTACTAAGTCCTAGAATGCAAACAAAGTAATTTCAAAAGTGCTAACCCATATGCTGTAGAAACAAATCTAACTAGAATTCAATATTTGTTTATGGTTCTTTTTGCATTTGGTCTGAGGATATGTAGTGGTAATACTATATTCAAAGGTTGTTTGGGTTTTTTTTAATACCCCCTTCAGTGTGGTTATTTTTTATAGTTGTAATATCAAAACTACATAAAGGTATGTTTGGAGAAGTATCACTCCCCCCATCTCTTCCAGCTCACTCAAACTTCCCCCTCATCTTTCCACCCTATTCCCAGTAACAAATCTCATTTGTTTTTGGTTTATCCTTCTAGTGTTGCTTTTTGGACAAAATTACATTGAGGGATCATTTTCCAACTGTCTGATTGGCAAAAAAGTTTAAAGTTGGACAGTATATTCTATTGGCAAAGTTGTGGGGAAACAGGCACGCTCATACATTGCTAGTGGGAATGCAAGTTGGCAGAAACATTATAGAGGGGAACTTGACAATATGTAACAAAAATACTTCTTTTTTTTTAAATTGGACTTTAGACGAAGGTTTACAGAACAAACTAGCTTCTCATTAAACAGTTAGTACATATATTGTTTCATGACATTTGTTAACAACCCCATGACATAGTCAGTACTCTCCCTTCTCGACCTTGGGTTCCTTGTTACCAGCTTTCCTATCCCCTTCTGCCTTCTAGTCCTTGCCCCTGGGCTGGTGTGCCCCTTTAGTCTTGTTTTGTCCTGTGAGTTTGTCTAATCTTGGCTAAGGGGTGAACCTCTGGAGTGACTTCATTACTGGGCTAAAAGGGTGTCCAAGGGCCATAATCTAGGTATTTCTCCAGTCTCTGTCAGGCCAGTAAGTTTGGTCTTTTTTTTTTTAGTTAGAATTTTTTTCTCCATTTTTCTCCAGCTCTGTCCAGGACCCTCTATTGTGATCCCTGTCAAAGCAGTCAGTGGTGGTAGCTGGGCACCATCTAGTTATACTGGATTCAGTCTGGTGAAGGCCGTGGTAGTTGTGGTCTGTTAAGCCTTTGTACTACTCTTTCCCTCTTTCCCTTGTGTCTTTAGTTTTCTTCATTTCCCCTTGCTTCTGAAGAAGTGAGACCAGTGGAGTATCTTAGACGGCCACTCACAGGCTTTTAAGGCCCCAGACGCTACTCACCAAAGTAGAATGCAGAACATTTTCTTTATAAACTATCTTATGCCAGTTAAGCTAGATATTCCCTGAGACCGTGGTCCCCACAGCCCTCAGCCCAGCGATTCGGTCCCTCAGGGAGTTTGGATTTGTCCATGGAGCTTCCATGACCTTACCCTGAACAAGTTGTGCTGGCTTCTCCAGTATTGTGTACTGTCTTACCTTTCACCAAAGTTACCACTTATCTATTGTCTATTTAGTGTTTTTCTCTCCCCACTCCTCCCCTCCCTCATAACCATCAAAGATATGTTTAAACCTTTTCATGAGTTTTTACAGTAGTGGTCTCATACAATATTTGCCCTTTTGTGATTGACTTATTTCACTCAGCATAATGCCCTCCAGATTCATCCGTGTTGTGAGATGCTTCACAGATTCATCATTGTTCTTTATCGTTGCATAGTATTCCACTGTGTGTATGTACCATAGTTTGTTTATCCATTCATCTGTTGATGGGCATCTAGGTTGTTTCCATCTTTTTGCCATTGTAAACAATGCTGCAGTGAAAATGGGTGAAGATATGTCTATTCATGTGATGGTTCTTATTTCTCTAGGATATATTCCTAGGAGTGGGATTGGTGGATCATATGGTATTTCTATTTCTAGCTTTCTAAGGAAACACCGTATCATTTTCCGCAATGGTTGTACCATTTTTCATTCCCACCAGCAGTGCATAAGAGTTCCAATCTCCCCACAGCGTCTCCAACATTCGCTACTTTTTGTTTTTTTGATTTGTGCCAGTAATGCAGGGTGAGATGGTATCTCACTGTGGTTTTGATTTGCATTTCTCTAATCACTAGTGATGGGGAGCATTTCCTCATGTGTCTGTTAGCCACTTGAATGTCTTCTTTGCCCATTTTTTAATTGGATTATTTGTCTTTTTGTTGTAGAGGTGTTGGATTTTCCTATAGATTTTAGAGATTAGACCTTTGTGAGATTTGCAGTAGCCAAAAATTTTTTCCCAATCTGTAGGTTCTCTTTTTACTGTTTTGGTGAAGTCTTTTGATGAGCATAATTGTTAATTTTTAGAAGATCACAGTTATCTAGCTTATCTTCGGAAATTTGTGTGATGTTAGTTATGGTTTGTATCCTGTTAATGCTGTGTATTAGGCTCTCTAGCATTGATCCTATTTTTTCTTCTATGATCTTTATAATTTTTTGTTTTATATTTGGTCTTTGAGCCATTTTGAATTCGTTTTTGTGTATAGTGTGAGGTATGGGTCCTGTTTCATTTTTTTGCAGATGGACATCCAGTTTTGCCAGCACCATTTGTTAAAAAGACTGTCTTTTCCCCATTTGATGGACTTTGGACCCTGTGGTCGGAGATCAGGTGACCGTAGGTGGATAGATTTACATCTGGGTTCACAATTCTGTTCCATGGGTCAATGTATCCGTTGTACTAGTACCAGGCTGTTTTGACTGCCATAGCTATATAGTAGGTTTTGAGGTCAGGTAGTGTGAGTCCTCCTACTTTATTCTTCTTCTTCAATAATACTTTACTTATCTGGGGCCTCATTTCTTTCCATATAAAGTTAATGACTGTTTTTTCCATCTTCTTAAAGAACATTGTTGGTATGTGGATCAGGATTGCACTGTATTTGTTGATTGCTTTGGGTAGAATTGTCATTTTCACAGTGTTGAGTCTACCTATCTATTAGCATGGTATGTTTTTCCATTTATGTAGATCTCTTTTGGTTTCTTGCAGTAGT